GGCTGCAATGAGTCCTGGGCACCTGGAGACGGCGACAGGGCAGAGAGAGAGGCAGGCGGTCAGAGCAGCATGGAGATGCAGCTGCTTCTGGGGTGGGGGGTGCTGGGGCTGCCCAGCACCCGCCACCCCAGCCTGGTGCCCCCTAGTGCCCATGTCTGTCACTGTGTGGGGGACAGGCCGGTGCCTGCACAGACAGAGCTCTCCATGGCCCTGTCCCCCAAGGCAGCTGCTGTCCCCGCTGTCGCATCAGCCTCCCACAGCCCCGCGCTGCCCTTGAGAGAGCAAGGCTGGCGCAGCTGCTGTTCAGGCAGGCAGAGCAGGGGGCAGCCTTCCCTGAGCCCCAACCCTGGACCCCCAGGCCTGTTGGTACCCCTCACAAACAACCCACAGCTCCCCAGCCCTGCTGGCCCTACCCATCCCCTTTTCTCAGTCTCTCACATGCAGGGGTGTGGGGATTCCCATCTCGATGGACATTGGCCCCTCTGCATGCGCCGGTGGCCCCCCAGGGAGGTTTGGAGTCCTCAAAGTCCATTCACTAGAGGGGAAACTGAGGCGGGGGGGGCTGTGCTTCCTTTAAGTGAGTGTGGGAGCCTTTTGGGGAGAGCTGGGGTTGGGGGAAGAGGGGGTTATGGTCACAAGGAGGCCCAGTCTCTCTCTCTTTCTCACATACAGACACATACACATGCAGGGCAGGAACACACAACATGGCAACCCACAGCCATGTTCTCTGTGCTCCTTACACACACACAGAGCACAGGAAACACAGCCGCATGAGAGAGCAGCGCACAAAGGCAGCATCCTATACCCGCCCCCAGCCTTCAACACACACATGCAAGGCCTGACATGCATGCATACATGCACAAACACACACAGTGGCACACCACACACAAATGCCCACAGCACCACACACACACACCCACACATGAATGCACATGCACACAGGCACAAACAGCGTCACATACACAGCGCACAAATGCACACATACGCACAGGTATACAGAGCATCACATACGCATGCACATACAGACACTGGCAAACCACACACGTATGCATACTATGCTGTACAGGGCACATCCATGTACAGGCACACAGACCAACATGCATACAGCACTGCACACCAGTACCCATGCCCGAACGCACATGCGTACCCACAGCATTTGCATGTGTTCACACATGCACAGACACACGTGGGCGCATACACATGCATGACTGCACCCACACCGCACTGAGCACGGCCATGCAAAAAAGCAAACACCCAGAATAGAGCAATGGCACTTGTATGTGCGCACATAAATGCACATGCACATGTGTGTGCGTGCACACACGCGCACACACTGCTGCAGTCCTATGCTGACTCCTTCTGCTCCTCCTCAGAGCAGGAGTGTGGGTGAGGGGGCAGGTGGGGGCAGTCATCTCCATAGCTTTCTTTGTCAATGTGGGGGGGGGGGGGGGCGGCAGGGGCTCAGCCTGCCCCAGCCCAACTACCCTCCCATCCATGGGTGCAGCTCCAGGGGCACAAGTGATGAGCACTGATGAGGCTAGCAGGGCTGCAGGTCGGGAGTGAGGGGCACCAGCAGGGCTGGGGACCATTATCTCACATTGCCCCAGGAACTGCACCCACAATATACCATTGCCCCCACCTGGATGCCTGGGTTCCATCCCTGCCCAGGCTGCTGGGTTCCTAGGCTGCATTTTATCTGGGGCTGTGCTGGGTGCTAAGGGGGCGGGGTCCAGCCTGGGGGCAGGGCAGGGCTGTGGGTTGGTCTGGCAAGGGGCACAAAGGCAGGTCGATGCCCCCCTCTGTTTGCTGGAGAAACAGGGGAGTGAGATGAGCTGCCCCCACCCCTGCCATCCAGGTCAGGGGGGGCAATGCCAGGAGACCCCGCTCCATGGCTTCCCTCCCAGTCAAGGAGGAAGGCATCTGCTGGGCACCACTGGGGATGCATCACCTTCCTCCCATCCCACTGTTCCCATCTCCATTGGATCCAAGGGGGCAGGAATGTGGTGGCAGGAGGCTGTGGGTCAGGAATGAGGGGCACTGGCAGGGCTGAGGGGGATGGCAGGGGGCTGCAGGCTGGGAGTGAGGAGCACCAGCAGGGCTGTGGGCTGTGGGTCGGGAATGCCCCTCCCAGCCCCCATGGTCCCCCCCAGATGCTCCTTCACCCTGACGTACCTCACTTGGGGTCTCAGCTGGGGCAGGCTCCCTTCTTCTGGCAGGGCCTGTGCCGCCCCCTCCAAAATGCCACCTCCAGCACCAAATCCCTGGCCCCTGCCCAGCCTCGTCTGCTGCCAACCGGGTGCTGGAGAGAAATAAAGGCAAGTCCCCG